TCTTGTACAACAACATTCAAAATGTGAGCAAAGCACCGAATATGTTGATTGTCTGAATCAAAGTTTGGCAGCTGTTTGTCCAATTCATACATAAATTTGGTATTTGCAGTTGCGTTGTCGACCGTGATACCCTGTATTTTATCAATTATGTCATATTCCAATAAACATTCGTGGAAAATCGTTGCAATATCTTCCCCAGTATGTCGACCGCGTGATGGTATAAAATCAAGGACTACAGATCGATACTTCCATTCGTTGTCTATATAATAAATAGTGACCCCGTAGTAACTCCTACCAGCAATTGACGTCCATCCATCAATGGTAAATAACATTTTAGATGAAAATTGTTGTAGTCGTTTCTTAAGATTCAATTGAAGCTCTTTAAACCGTTCTTTGACCTTCCTTCTAAGTGTGGACCTTTTAGGAAACACCATATCTGGGCAAATTGATCGAAAATATACTTGTGTAGCTTCGTCATCGAAAAATGAGAAGGGAAGATATTTTTTAACCATCCAATCAACTGTAGCTGTCGTGATGTCACTGCTATTTTCAGACTGAAATAAAATAGTAAATCATGTGTCTCGCCGATTATAAAAACAAATTAATATATGAGTGAATTATAAATACATATTTAACACATATATATATATAACATACAAACTTGTAGTTTGTAAGGTAGGTTCCTTTTATGGCATAGAGATCAGTTAAGAAACGGTTTTGAGAAAATCTATCCCTAAGTGAGTGAAATGGGAGTTGGAAGTTTATATGAAAGTTCAACGTTTTTGAAGTTAGAAAAAAATGAAAGTATAAGTTTTCAGTAATAAAATCCTGAATAAGCTACGTAACGAGTCACTTACGTAACGAAATCCCAACCCTAAGGGGGTGACATTGGGGTAAAATGGTTACATGCAAGTCCTATATTTTTAAAGTATAGGTATGAAGGTCGACATTTACTTTATTAGTTTTAAATAATAAATACTTGCATAGTTAAGCTTTACCTATATAACCTCTTTATACTCAGGTAAGACTTTTGCAGCTAGAAAATTTCAAAATCTCATAGGAAATCAGATATTGTACGCGGACGAAGTCGCAGGCGGCCGCTAGTTACATAATAATGTGTTATGTAATTGTGTGATAGGTATATTTTTTCTTACCTGTCCACTTTTTCCGGTGGTTATTAAAAAATCTTGTGATATCTCCACTTAATTTTGGTTTTTCAGGAAGAAATATTTGTGATTCCTTTTTGTGGAAAGATATTAGATGCTTCCTTAAGCCTGAAGTGTTTCTGTTTTTCATTTTTATTTCAACCTTTTTATGTTGGCATAATTTACACAAAGCAATTTGGGATGCATGAATTATGTCGAAAAACTCATCAAATTTACTTTTAGGTCTTTTAGATCTATAACTCCAACTCTCACTACTCCGACTAGAACTATTCGACTCTTCGTCACTCATGTCAAATTGTAAACTTATCACTCCGAGAACAACAAGGATTAGAGTAAAAACAATTAATACATTAGACTCGAAGCAAAGCTCAATTGGGAATGACTGGAATAAAAATAAATACTACTATTTGTAAGTACACGCCGAAAGAACGACAAAGGAAAGTTCGGTATCCTTTGATAAAATTAATGATTCTTCAGAAGATTAATAAAGTAGATGCGTTGCCAGATAGGTATAGTGTGCCTACGTAAAAATGAAATGTAAATATGTAAATAAAATTGTGTATATTATGTTTTTCTTGTGATTGAATTAATCTACGTTAATTAAATTAAATTTGCCTTCACTCGTTTGAAATTCAAAAATCAAATATGTTTTATTCAAGTAGGCATTAAAAATACACTTTTGAATAGTCATATAATCACTGTTTTCCCCAATTTTTTCTTTTCCATGTCCGGGTTCCCAAACCCACACAGCGTCATTAGATGATTTTCCATCCGCAAAAAAAAGGGGTTCTGATTCTACTGAGAAGAATCATGGAAGAAAGTAAGAAACTCAGTAGTTGCTCTTTTCAAAATATTTTTACAATAGTTCTATAATTATGTAAAGCGATAAGTCAAACATAAAATGTCAAATGTATATGTAGATACCAAATCGGTTTAGAAATTTCTAGTTAGTCCTGTGTAGTACGAGAGGTCAGTTCCAAGCATTTTTGTCTGACTTAAATTGAAAAGGTGAAAGATCTAACATTTCTTTTGAAATCTTATTATAAAAGCGTATATCGCTACCCAAGAACGCATTATATACTTTGTGTAACCGGAAAGCAGGTATTGTGATTTTATTTTTATTTCTACTATTAAAATTGTGCAAATCACTATTATTTACATCAATTCGATACAATAAATTTCTTTAAACGGTTCTCTAAGAGATACTCGGGCTCCTAAAAAGTACATATATCTTATTTTAGGCTTTTTATTTAATATGCACACTTTTTATATTTATCGATTAGCATTGTACAAAATTTTTCAAGCGTTTCAAGCGTGTTAAAAGTGTCTACAATATTTATCAAATGGGTGACGACATATTCGAACACTTTGTGTTCAAAAACACACACTCCCAAAAATCGAGATTTGCAGTGAACTTATTGAACATGTATATCTATTGGGTAATAATAATAATAGTAAGTAATTATTATAAACCCATATAGTTAATATTATAATAATTACTTACTAGAATAAATTATTATGGTATCTACCTATCCTTACCATTATCTAATTACAATATTCCTTGCGAGATCAGCATAATGTATTCGTGTCCATTCTGAGCACCCGGAAACTTATTTTATTCTTTGGTACATGTTCCAACTCCACTCTGTGGCGGCATTCAAACTGTGTCAAATGTAGTGCGTGCGGCGCGGCGGCGACGATTGAATGCGATATCAATAGAAGCCGCCGGCGCGTGTATCTTGACCTTGTACTTCCGAACAGCTGCAAAATTTCTTTGACAGGTCAGTATTTGACCTTTGATGATGCCGACAACAAGACGCCGCGCACTATCAAAGTGCCGATGGTCAAAACTTTGGATGCACCGTTTTTTCTTTCAATAGATATTTTCATCCGCTATGTATGTTTATGGTATTGTTCGTAATGCGCAAAGTTTTCCAAATTTTTTTATATATATTTTTTTGCGTCTCATAGAGTGCCTAAGCGTATACCCGAACTCCATACTTCCTGAAACTACACTCATTCCTAACTGCAAGACGCAAGAGTCTCGCAGGCTTAGTCTTGTTCTTGCTCAAATCTTGCACGGTCAGTCTTGGTCTTGGTCTTGCTAAAATTAGGCGGTTTTGTTCTTGGTCTTGGTCTCGCAAAAATGCAAGAACAAGACCAAGACTGCAAGACCAAGACCGATTTTGGGCAACACTAATCAAGATTCTGTTGGTGCTGTCATTTAAGCATCAACCACCAGGCAGATATGTCTTCTGCAGAAGAAATAGCGGAAGTAAATTTACATTTGACTTGTGCTAGTACAGCCTTTATAATATTACTTTGTGCTAAAAATAAGAAAAAAAAAAGAATTGCGAAGTGGTGAGATGTAGGCGGGGGAGTACCGAGACATGTAACGACATGACCCGATACTGTATCCATACATGTTAGTGTGGACGTCTCCTGATCACGCGGACAATAGCAAAATCCTTTGAAAAAAAAACCGACTCTCGATGGATCGGGTTGTAGATGTGTAACAGTACACAGACCAGCGTCCACACTAAACCCAGCTAGAAGGTCGTAACTCCGTACATTGTCCTGTGTATCCAGCAGTTTCTTTCAGCGTCAGCTTGTAACAATTGTTCGCGTAACAAAAAACGTCCACATTATCGCTACTGACACGTGTTACTGGTACGGTTACGGGATAATGTTCGGTAAAATGACATAAGTGTGGACGCACCTTAAGAGAATCCACTAGCCGTTTATTATCCCTTGAGTAAGAGGCAACAGATGAAAACTGAAACAGATGGGCAGCATCGTTACAGTTAACGCAGCTTCCTGATAACAGCATTATTTGGAGAAGGATTGTGATCAGCAGCACTATATAATGAATCAATGAATAATATACAAAGCGCTATAAGTAGCAGTGTATCATTATATAACTCTGTGGTGTAACGTCATCATCATGATTGCAGCCCTTCATAAGTCCACTGCGGAACATAAGCCACCCCCAAGTAATGCCAAAAAGCACGGTCCTGAGCCACCTGCATCCATCGACTTCCTGCATGTCTTACCAGGTCGTCACCCCGTTTAGTGGGGGGTAGGGCACCCCCATACGCCTACCAGTACGAGGCTGCCACTTTCCCCTATCGGTTATCGTTTCTTCGAGTTATATGGCCGCCAATTGCCACTTCAGCTTACTAATCCATTGGGCTATGTCGGTCACTCTGGTTCTACTGTGGATATCCTAAGTTTATCACGCAAAGCAACCCCGAGCATAACCCTCTCCATAGCTCGCTGAGCGACCTAGAGCGTCCTCATACGGCCATCAGTGTAGGATCACGTCCCAGATCCATAAGTCATTACTGGCAACACGCACTGGTTGTATAATCTAACGTATATCGGCTTATGCTGTATTATATATTTACTGTCTCTTTAATCTCGAGTTCGAATCCTGGGTCGAGTCAAAAGTAGTTATTGGGTTTTTCACCTTGCATCAGCACCTTGGAAAACACGCAAAGCCGTTGGTCTTTGATCTCTCTCCGGTCGCGTCGGATTACCGTCCTATCGGAGAGTGACGGAAAAAAGAGTGCACCTGTGCTTGCATACATTCAAGCACTATAATCGTGTCCTGCGCCGTTGATTTAAACCTAATAGACTTCTGTCAACTAAATAAGAAAGTAAGAATAGCTTAAATTAAATTCTACATATTTGAATCTATATTTTTAAAGAGATTATAAATTGTTGAGTCAGGCCGCCGGACCGAAATTCGGTCCGGAGGACTATATTATGTGTATTTAACTTTCACAACACAATTTTATTGATATTTGAGTAATAAAATTATACGTGTTCCAGAGCGTCCGCGAAGAGTTGTGCTGTGCTAGAGCGCGTGTTCGCGAGTTGGAAGCACAGAACCGCGCGCTAAGCGCACTGCTGGTGCGGCAACTGCGGCCGCAGCCCCGCCCGTCGCCCGCCACGCCGCACACGCCGCACACGCCGCACACGCCCAAAGACTTACAAGGTATGAGAAATTCGCTGCAATTCTGTATAAGAGCTATTAGCTTTTAATAAAATTTATCAGCGCTTCACCATTATAGAAGACAGTTTCAGTTATTACAATGAGATGAGTGGTAAGTAGCGCGCAATTAAAGGAAATGAGTAATTATCTCTATATCCCATTTAATACTGTCCATACATATACCTTATTACAACATAGCTTATCGTAGGTAATATAAATATAATTATTTACTAGCTATACTTAATATAGAAATTCCCACTTCATCGTCATCATTAAAGCCATTCTCAAGTCAACATAGACCTCACCTCATCCGTAGATGGTCTCATATGGTGGATATTTAATGTAGTTGTCTGCTTGGGAGATTTTGAGGAGATGCTGCAGCCCAACTCCTGTTGCATTTCCCTATGTCGCCTTTACGATACCTACGGGACGATATGGGGTAGTTGGTAATCTTACACCGCCACTACACGGTGTAGGAATAACCATCACTAAGTATGGTGCTGTTGGTATATAGTGATGTGGTATATATGACGATCTCCAGTTCACGTGGTGGAGGTGGGGTCCTGTGGGTCGCTGGTGTCGTTCCGCGACTCGCCGCCCCCGTCCCACCCGCACCCGCTCTGTCACGACGACAAGCGTCGCCATCAGATCCTCGCCGACATTTGGACCGAGCTCAAGGTACCCATTAAAATGATTCAGCACTAACATTTTATATTAGAATAGCTTTAATTTAGAAGGTCTTAAGCGTTTAAATTTGAGATTTTTTAAAAATATATTTATTAATTTTTTTATATGAGCCGTGGTAGTGGTTGGATAATCTCGCCTTAAATTTCATGACAGTACGCGGCTCGAATTATATCCCCGTTGGTTATGCGTTATCACCTTTGGCCGAGTATGGAAAAAAGGGGATATCCCGTTGGTATTAAGCCCGAAAAGTGGCTAAAGGCCTCTATGTAGATAAAGTATGGAGCTTGTTTTACACACAGTCGTTTAGAATCTTGAATATCGCGATGAAGACTTCGATTGTTGTTCGGTCCGTCTACGCTATTGAGGTAGGTAGGCATTGGTGGTATGACGGTGCCGCCAAACACCAATGAAGAGAAAGTATTTTTTTTTACTTTTACCATTACCTATTTTTGTACTTTTACCATTACTTACTTAGATTTAAAAATGAGATTATCCAACAGTGGAACGTTTGTATGACTTCACTTTAAACCTTTACAATTAATAATGTGGCCGTGAAGGAAAAGGGGAGATCCCCCGGGGGGTCGGGGGGGGCACTCCGAATATTGGAGAAGTTTATATATCTTTATGGATGTTGGTATCGGGGGTTTTTCGGCGTGGTGTTGGCGGCGCGCGCCGCCCCGCCCCACCACCCCCCTCGACCGTCGGGTACGGCCGCGTGCGCCGGACAGCAAACGACAGAAGCCCGTGGTGGGGGAAGAAAAAAAAAAAAACAAGGCAAAGAGAAGAGAGGAGCACAGAACGACCACCCCAAGAGAGGAAAGAAAAAAAAAAGTTTCCGGCAATGGGGGTTAGGGGGGGAAAAGGAAGAAGACCCGTTTTGTGCCGGGGGGAAGTTGGGGGGGGTTTTAAAAGTAGAAAACGATTAGTTTGTAGGGTTGAAGACCACCCGGGCCCCCTGCGGGCAGGAAAAAGACCCTTACCATAATAATAACTATTCTTTATTATGATGAACAGTGACTTATATCCAAGTGATTTTTTACACACTAAAAAAATATTTTTACAGATTTTATCGCGTTTAATTTTAACACAATATATTCAACGTTTACTTCATATTCCTCTTATACGTTCCAGGGTCTAGAAGTGACGCCGGCGAACCTGGCGCGTGCTCTGTCTGCAGTGGACCCGACTCTGTGGGCTCCGCCAGCTCGACCCGCCACTTTGAGTCTCAACATGCAGCAGCCTTGTACTGACGCAGTAAAGGGTAAATTATACACATCAGACAAAACTAACCGACATAGCTCAACAGACAAGTCTGCTGTGGCAATAGCTCAAAGAACCGAACAACCGATGGGCAAAAAATGTTCTTAAGCGGCAGCCTCTCTAAGACCGCTTAGAGGAATATGAGTAGAGAGATGGAGAAACAGATGGCTCGCTCTTTTAATTGCGTAATGTGTAAAATCTTCTACTTACGAAGGTGCAAACACAATTACAACTTAAGAGAACTTACTTTAAAGAAAGCTTGCACTTTCACCCTTGTTGGTAAAAAATTATATTATCATTAGCATCACTATTACTACAGCCTATCAAAAGTCTACTGCTGTATATAGGCTGCCAAATAATAATAATAATAATAATAATGTCCTCCAGACCAAATTTTTTTCCACGGCGGCCTGCCTCAACGGAGGCTAGCCATCGCCGCAGGACAGGATTATAGTGCCCAAGTGTATGCGCAAGCACATGTACACTCTATTCCCTCACTCTCGTAATCCGATGGGACGGTGAGCCGACACGACCGGGAGAGAGATCAGGCGCAAGACCAACGGCTTTACGTGCTTTCCGAGGCACGGGGGTGAGACACCGCCAACTTCCTTACTCCGGGCAGCTATTGAGAATTTCTTGACAGAAAAACTCAATAATTGATTTTTGGCCCGACCCGGGATTCGAACCCAGGACCTCATGATCAGCAGTCGCACTACTACAACCACTAGACCGACGTGGCACTAATTGTATAATATATATAATAATATAATTTATACTTTAATGAATGGGTCGGCTCGACCGGGGTATGACCACGCTCTCACAGAATACCCGCTTGAAATAGCAGCTTAATGCTGCTGTGTTTCGTATAGTGAGTGTAGAGAACCGGCGACCATTTTTACTGGAAACGAGGCATTTCATCTCAGTTCTCAGGGGTGACAACACATCTGCATTTTAATTCTTAATCGAGGATAGATGTAGATGTCTATGGACCACAGCATCCACTTACCATCAGGTGGGCTGTGCGCTCCTATGTCAATCTTATTCTATATTAAAAAAATCTTATTATTTTAAAAAGATGTAACAGAGAACAAACTTAGTTTTGTTTCAACTGCCTTTCACATCCTCGAGCGGTGCAGCTTTCATATCATCGTCGGACGGGGATCTGGTGATGGCGCAAAACCCATGCAAAAATCATATATACAAATCTCAAAAAGCAATATCATTTATGTACACACAATAAGTCGCCTGATGCCGCCTCTGTGCTATTTCGCGTATTCTTCAAAAGGCAATAATTGGTCAACAATCGATTGAAAAAGAAATTAGGTCTTAATATAAATGTCCAATTATCATATATTAACATAGTAATTAACATATTTCATCACTAAATAAATATAATATCAAGTTACGGTTAGCTAAATAAATAAACACCCCTTAACATCTATGCCGTAATATTTCAGGTGCCAGTGAAGAGAAAGCAACAGAGGAAGAAAGCGGCGAAGTAGGCGAGGCGGGGGCCGAGTCACCTGAAAGTGGCGCCAAAGATGAAGGTTACTCTACCATGTCCAGCGACGTGCAAGCTGACGCATCGCGACAGAGTGACCACGCAGCCGACAGAGCCCTGCCCGATCTCAATGAAGCCTCAGACGAAACTGATAACCAAACTATAGTCTCAATTAATCCTCGTGAATCTCGACGACATGCGCGCATGCTGGCCGATGCTGATTATATATATTTTCCAGTAGGTGTAGCGTTCGCTGGAGTCAGAGGCAGCTATCCCCCCTCACGACCCGTCCTTCCTTTTCAACATGTCGTAAGGAGCTTTTCTGACTCACATCTCTGCTTGAAACTTATAGCAGGAACAACCTGCTCTACTAGCTGTCTAGACAGCCCAAGTCCGAGCTCAGGAGTTTTAGTATTGGACTTAAAACCGGCGCCTGAAAGACCTTTAAGAAGGCCCGCAATAGCTTCGACGACAAGTTCGGAAAGAGTTTCGTGGGGCAGCACTGTTGATGAACGAGCTGACGGTTCCCAGTTTGACGCCGATTATGTACAACATTGGCTAGAACTTGATGATGCAAGATCGGCACTGCAACAAAGACATCGAGACATAGCAGATTTAGAATATGATAGAGCTGAATTAGAAGACTGGAGCTTATCGCTATCGTGTGAAGATCTTAGAGATAGACAATCCCCTTTTGCTGAAATAACAACACCTGGTCAAATATCACTGTCCACCTTGCCGAGTATTAGAGAGGATGATGCTTTAGAATTAGAAGAAGACGTCGGGGATTGTTTGTGGAATGATTGTGGATTTGCAACGATAGAAATCGACGAATGTAAAATGACTGACGATCCTGATAACGCGGAAAAGAGATGGGAGTGCTCTGGAACACATTCGCCTGGAGGTTCCTGGTCAAGCGCTTCGGATGCCCCTGAAAAACGTTCTAGTACGGCGTTAAGCGAAGACGGTGATTGCACTAATATCGGTCTAGATTTCACAAGAGACTTTTACCGTCTCGTCAAATATGAGAGCACTAAAAGTCTAGCATCTAATTCTTCTAGAGGTATTCCATCTCAAGATCCGGGCAGCCATTTGCGAATACACGACGTCCAAGCTATGGCATTGCAGGACCGTGAACAAGCGTTACAAAATGTGCTCCATTTTATAGCAGAGCAGCAGAAGTATTGCCGTGACAGGGAAGAATCAGACTCAATGTCCTCTCGACCTGTATCTGAAATAAGAGAATTACCTCCTCCATATGCAGCAGCAGATTACGACGACGATTCGATAGGTCCACGTAGCGAGATATCAGAAGACAGGCAACGTCCAGATTCTTTCGGCAGTTTTTCCGAAAATGATTCTAGCGATATAACTTCCGGTGATAGACCAAAAATAGTATTGCGCGAAGCCGTTTCTGAACCAAAGTGTACACCGAGATTCATCGAAAGGGAGGATCCTTACGCGGAGTCTGAAGATTACTATGATGAATTCTCTCAGGTGGAAAACGCAGAAAATGAAGTAGATGAACAACATCTATTAAAAGTGCAAATAAAAAATGAAATAAATAAAAGTATCGACCCCAGTAACCCGTCCGATTTGAATCAGCCCTTACAGCAAAAGGACGAGAGACCTTGTGATATCGAATCTAGTCGTAACGTAGACTACAATTCTGCCTTAAAAGAGAACACGGTTAATATCATGCTAAACAAACAAGTTACGTTATGCGAAAGGGTAGAATTGGAACCAAGTTTGACCAAATCGCCGAGCTTTCCATTCACAAGTGGAGAAACGGAGATATCCTTGGTCGAGGAAGTGTTAAGTGCTTGTAGGAGGAGCACAGGAATTTTAGTACCCGTCCCCGAAGAAGAAGAAGGTTCATCGCCCGAAACTAATTCACCCCAGATGACTGAATCGAACACGACTAGCACTTCTACAGCAGAAACTGTGATAATAAGTAATAAAAACGATGGTACTCAGAGAGAAATTAGACCAAGAAATGATAGAAGCCGCATACCTACTCTCTTAGGTGGAAAAAGACCACCATCTTCTCCAAACAGGACCAGGTCAAAAATTCCTGTTGCAGAGAAAAGTCGCCCGGGTACAATGCAATCTCTTCCTACACCTGAGCCTATCATAGTGAGACAAGAGCACACGCTGAGCTTCCACGAGGCTGCCACGTCGAAAGACGTTATTGACGAGCTTAACAGGCAAGTTATTTTGAAACCTTTTTTCTGTAAATCATTAAAAATTATTAAAAATATTTGTAATTCAAAATCCAGAATCTAGAGTGATATACCTTAGATCTTACCTACAATATATAATGATGATAACGTTAATTATCCACATAAAATAGCAGCTTAAAACTGATATGTTTAATGAGTTAATGAGTGTAAAGAACCGGAGATCCTTTTTACCATAAACGAGACATTCTTTTATTCTATTCTTGGTCATCAAGGGTTACAATGCATCTGCATTTTGATTCTTAATAAAGAAAAATTTCTTAATCAAAATGCAAATGCTTTGGATGAAATGGATGGGTTGTTACCCTTTGAATAGATGTAGATGTTTATGGGCGGCAGCATCAATTTACCATCACGTCGACTGTCATTGATCTGATCTGATCGTTTGTCATTCTTATTTCGTAAAAAAAGGTTATCATAATCCATATTATTGCATTTAAATTTTGAGCCTTAAAATTTGATTATATAAGAAAAGTTATCAAGTGCTATAACACATAAATGGCCAAAGACACTATAGTCCGTTCGCGTTAAGAAAATAGTGAGTCATCAGTGCAACTACAGGGTAAAGGTGTATTCACAGTGGAGTAAAAATTCTTTTATTTTCAAACATTTAATTAAGTTTAATGGAAACAAATTTTCTTAAAATAACTTAAATCACTAATCAGTATCGCTAGATTCTCCAGTTACATTAATTATGAAAGAATTTTGTTCTGCAAGTTCCATGATGTCATCCAAATTCCACATATTCCACAGGTATTTTCTTCGCGTATCACGTGGTCGCAACACTTCTTCCAATGATTAGCGTCTATTAATGCTGTTGCGTCATCTAATATATTTTTATGTCATTCATTTTGAACGTGTAGTTATTGGCACCAACATAATTTTTTATTTTTTAAATCACACAGTTTAAAGTACTTATAAACATTGTAAATTACGCGTCTCTCTCCGCTATGAGCTATTGATCCACTTTTATTCTTTCGAATAGGTGAGGTATTCATTTTCAAAATTTAATGTTGAACGAGTAACATGCAAAATACACAACCGTTTTGTTCGAAGGCCTGACTTCAACTGGTCACTGTGAAGTCGACTTTCTAATTTCTTGCATTTTAATTGGCTAAGGGGCGTGGCCAGACCGGCGAACAATGATGACTCATTGCGGTAAGCCAGTAAATATCAACATATTCATTATTACGGCCTATAAAAATCCCACCGTAGAAAATAGAGTGCACCCATAAATTGCCTCATATGCAGGAAATTTGCAATAATTATCACGCTTGGCAAATGGATTGCCAATCGCAGTTTTTTTCACTTTATTAGGAAGACGACGCTATCCAACTCCTGGTTGGTCACGTCTTACGACATCTACGGGGTATGGACACGGGGTACAAGATATGGGGTAGCGGATATTCTCACACCGCCACCACACGACATACGTGAACCTTTACGGATATATTATAAATATTAAATCTAGATTTCAACATAAAAGATTGATCGATAGGTTTTATCAGTAAAATGATTACAAACAGAAGTAATCTTATAGCATTTTTACTTATGTTTTATTATTTGTTACATAGAATGATTCGTCAAAGCGAAGGTCCGGCTGCAGCGGCCGAGGTGAAGGTGAGTGACGAGAAAGCATGCGCGAACAAAGACAACGCGTTGTGGGCGCCAACGGGTTGGGTGCACGTGGAGAAGGACATAGATTTCAGTGATCCAAAGGTTACTTGAATACCTTCTCACCTTTGTATACTGTTACATTAAACGTTCAAAACAAAATTAAAAATTTTTAATTGAAAATGTTTTTTACAATCTCAATCAGGTTTTTAATAAAATTAATGTTAGTAAGTAGTAAATTTTAAATTTATTTTCTTAATTGTTGCATATCTGAAATGGGTAAACTGTTGAGCCTTAAACTATATGTTTTTGTACTAAGATCATATTGTACACAGTTATGCAATAAATGTATCTTTATCTTTAAAAATGTGTGCACCCTACAATTTCACACATCAAGGTCCGACAATCGACGCCATATAAATATTATGTGTCAAAATTGTAGGGCCTAGCCAAAACTTCACACGTTTTCAGTGTAACATTACGTCAATATATTTGTAAAGTCCGTGAGACACAGCAACTAGCTACTACAAACTTTCTGAGACTCCAATATTTGTGCAAAATGCTAAATTATTAGTCAGTTATAATGAAAAGTTGCTGTCGGTTATTTAATGCTTTTCAACAGGCGTCGGTTTAAGTTAAAAAATATAATGTAACAAGAAATAACAATAATAATAATATACTCCAGATTGTATTTCGTATCGGCGATCACCAGCCATCTGCGCAGGACAGAATATAGTGCACAAGTGTAAGCGCAAGGACAAGTGCGCTCTCTGTGCCCTCACTCTTATAGTTTGATGGTAAAGATACGGCAGTCTGTTACGACTAGAGAGAGAGAGAGATCAGGCGCAGGACCAACGGTTTTACGTGCTTTCCAAGCCACGAGGGTGAAACACCACTAACTTTCTGACTCCGCGCTAGCACTGAGAATTTCTTGACAAAAAACTCTATAATCGAGATTAGAGCGACCCGGGATCAAATAGACAGTCAATCAAAAAGTTTAAAAAATAGATATGTAAAAATATAAATTTGTAAAGTATAAAAGTAAAAAATTCTAATAAATTATTCCAGGCCCGTGCAAACCTGCTTGATGTCATGTTAGCATCCAGCGACTCCTCGCCGTCGTCTTGTGGTTCATCACCAGCAGAAGCCCCAGCGCCGTATTCACGATTGCATCACCTACATCGCTCTAGGAGACAGAAAACTGGTAAATTTTAGTTGTTTCTATCTCTTGCACAATTTTCTCGTTCATGCATCGACACAGTTACCTTTCGGTGTTGTGTTTATAATTATTATAGCTGTAAATGTGGTTATAAAATTGTGGGTTATACCAGGGGTTCCCAAAATATGCGCTGCGGCGCTCTGGCACGCCGTTGAGAGCAAAGGGGGACGCCGTAAAGCGCTCCTGTTTACCATTCTCCGGAAACTAAATATAGGTATTCGCGGTTACGAAATAAACAATACAAATCGCGTGCGCTGCATACATCTCTCACTCGCCGATAGGTCCTTACGCTCGGAAACGTAATAAAAACGAATTCTTATTCCTTTTGCAACACTTTGTCAACTTCATATTGTGGATGTTTAAATTTATGTGCCTAGGTTCATTGTACCCTATTTCGACGAGCTAAGTGCGGTGCGAACTGAAAAAAATTGAGAACCCCTGGGTTATACTAATATATAATTAGACTCAATAATGGTGGTATCTTTGACATTATTTCTACTTATGTAATACTTATTGTAATTATAAAGAACTTCAAACTAGAGTCTTCGATCACTAATAAAGACTAATGTGGTATAAAATTACATGTTGTTGTGTATGATAGTTCATTATATTCATTTAAGTGTGCTTTTTAAATTTTTGTTTTAATATAATAAATGTTGATAACCAATGTCTCATTGAAAACTATTTCTCTTGTAAATAATGGCCATCAACCTTTTTCGTTTGTCTGTATGCCATGTGACTGACTTCATGTAATGTCATGTCGTGTACAGAGATATTATAAAACAGTACTTAAGTACTCTGCACATTAAATTAACGTACAATAATTATTCTCTTCATTGAACGTATCAAGCTATTTTGTGTATTAATAATATAATATCTCTGTTTGTATGTCTTGTCACATGCTAAGCAAGCCACGCCTATCGTCTCCGCTCTCACTCACACGCACCATCTCACTGTCGCCTCATTTCGCGTAGTTATCATAAGACCACGCTCCGAAAAATTATAAAAAAGTTTATTAAGGCTGCCAAAACGCGAAATGCCCAAAATGATACATTAAAACTTTTTTCGTGAATTTTAATCGTTTGCTGATAATATTACTAAATCAAAACTTCTACAATATAAGTTAATCGTAGTTAAGGTTGCAAGATGCAGCCAGTGGGTTAAATTTCGTGACAAAAGGTTAAAATAATCGGAAATTTGGTTTTCAAATCGGGGCAACTACTATAGGTACACTCTGACCGTCATGAGCTGTATTATTATTATAGATTATTACTTGGGGCTGATCAATACTCGCGAACTTTTACACTTATGTATTGATTATTTGTCCGAGTTTGGGAAGAAAATATGAAAAGATCAAAAGACTAATGTTTTAATGTAGTTACAGCTTACAGATGTATTCATTTTTGCTGTCAAAATTATCGATCACGCGTAAATCGGGACACCTGCTACACCATTCACAGTGTACCTGGTTTATTTTTTATTCTAAACTAGTTATATCAAACTACGCGTTGCTATGGCTCTGGTTAAATGCAAAAGAAAATGTTGCTTTTATGTCCAACAGATGGCACTGTTCTTTTTTTTTTTTTCAAAAATATCTAAAAACGCGAGCGTGTGGAAATGCATCCAAGTGCGCTCGGTCTGAGTACCCGATCGTATCACGCGACTTTACTTTCCTAAAATATCTCGGCTGCGAATCAGTTGGCAGCCTTAATTACGTGGTAACGGAGCGTGTGTGAGGCGCGTGGGTGCGAAGGAACGCGGCGCTCTGCGTGCTCACGCGTGCTCGTCTCGTCCAGAGGGTCGCTTGTAGCCGCTAACGTGGCCTGTTGCTGCAGCGGCGGCGCTGCGTAGCCGCGGCCTCGCCGTGCTCCGCTTCTCGCGCTCCAGACGCCCATCCATCCTCGGCCGCGACGGCTTCTTCGTCCGCTACGGCGAAAGAGAACGCGACGCCGTCGCCACCTTCGATTTCCTCGACGACCTCTCCGGCGGCTCCTCTCCGGACACCAAAGACTGTACCTAAATTATATAGCAATAAACGCCTCTCAAATAACTATATTTTTTTATTGTGATAATCGAACGGACACGGCCTTGATGTTGGAACGAATGGGCCTAGAGCACAATTAACGAGACAATGAAATAATGCAATGCAACCATGTTAGGGTATTGCTTTCGCGTAGCTCTTAGCCAAATAGTTTTACCTTTTTTTAGTGTAGCGTTTTGATAAACGGCCGCACGACCTCCGTACGGCTGCAGCTTTTTCAACAGCCTCGAGTTTAGATACTTTAGGTGTCGTAGATGTTTCGATTTTAACTTCCTAATTAATAAAACGAGCACCTAGTCTGTAACGTTCTTCCTGGATTTCTATTAGTAGCTTGGGGAGACGGGTGGGAACATCGCAAAGGCTTCGTCTAAACTGATTCATCGCAATTGTTTGCGTCTTGATTCTAGAAACTAAATATTAATAAATATTTATAAATAACCTTGCAAAATTAATCTGCCATCTGCTGAACAGAACTGGGCCGTTGATAGATATTTTTTGCGCTATTTGAAACTGATAAAGCGTTTAAAAAAAACTAAAAGTTAGGAATTATGTAAACGGTCGATTACTTCCTGTTATGTCAAGCTTACGCTTCGAACCATTAATTGTGTTTATGTAAGAAGACGAAACAAATAATGACTAAGTAATTGAAAGCTGCGGCCTCGAAGTAATGTGATATTTTTGTATATACTGTAAGTTCCACTTATTTTCGTAAACATTTAAATGGTTTCTTTTCTAACCGAACGAAGCGTTACTGATGGTCCTAGAGAGTAATATGTTTGGGTTTTGAAAAGCCCGGTCGTGTGACAGTATTTACTTCTCCAATCGTGATTTCTAAAAATCTGTAATTATTTACGGGGAAAGTAGTAACGAAGTCGCACGACCGGATCGCAGAATGTAATGTTAGGTACTTATGTAAATATTGACAATTACTTACGTATATCGAGCTAGTAACTACATTTAATAATTATATATTATAGTCACATTCTATAACAATCGATAACCCTATAAAATCCATTAAATCAAAGGGTACTAAAGTATGTTAAGTGTATATATGTTATAATGACGTCATTTAATGCTATTTATTAATTTGTGTCATTTGCGATTCGTTGACCATTTGTGTATACATAGGTACATATCATGATCTAATATTATTTCTAGTAATTATATTTATCAAGGTACAAGTGAAAATATTACTTTCTGCATACAAACCATCTGGTACGTTCTTGTGTTTTGCTTGTATACAACAGTATGCAAGCAAAACAAGAACACATTTCTTCCTAAATCTTTATATTTGTACTTCGTTATATTTTATAGCAGATTGTAATATATCTAACTCAATATGTAACTTCTTGTCTATTACGGATACCGTTTAATTGTGATGATGGACTAACAATTCGAATATCTGTACGTCCTCTAAAATGGTACTGTTAATGTTTGTATTTTTTTTTACTACAAACCTGTAATCGCAATTTTAATAGATTTTTTACTTAGTATCACTTGTGCTGAGATTATCTCTCATATAGTTTGCGTCTATGCTATGTAATTCCATTCAATATGGTTATAAACCTTAAGGAAAATTTGTATCTGAGGCTTTATGATATGTATAGATTTCTATTCTAATTGCGGAACCAAAGCGATTTAACACAATTTTGCCACCACTTGTTACGATGCGACACTGTATTTCACTTTATTGATAGATTTGAAAGATTTCTTTTATCCAGCTTTGTTTAATGGTAGTAATGAGGACAATAAAGGAAGATTTTTACCTATTATTATTAATAAATATAAACGAAATGACGAGTCGATCGATATCTAAAATATAAAAGTATTTAGTACATACTTACATAAATACAGCGTAACTACAATGTATGTAATTGAAACAATGTAAGAACGTCCCATTACGTTCGGTTAATGCGCTCCGGATAGAAACGAATAATTTAGTTTGTAGATATCTGACAAATTGACATAAATACAATTTTTTTTTCATTGTATCTGATGTGTTTACCCGAACGTACAATAAATCACTAGTTGAATAGTATAACATATACAAAAACAGATTGTGAACTATTTTTCAATCCACTGTGTAAGATATTCTTCATTTATTATGACATAATTGTTCCTAAGAACGCCTCGTTCATTCCTGTATGCTAGATATTGTATTGTGATGCATTCACCTCTTCAAAAACATTGGAATACTTATTATTTTTATCATAAAAATAGTACCTCGTAACTTAGTATGCAATTATATTCATTATAATCGTAGGATTCTGAAGGTACTGTGATGGTAACTACCACTAAATTTTAGAGCACAATTGGAAGATTAATAAATATAGGATTGATAATGAAGAATGCGTATTGAAAATATTCCTTGGTATTGGGTGCATTTGTTAGTACATTCTAACATAAGAAATAGAAATACTTGGGTTAGGTAGGTACTTTGAGCAGTACAAAATGTGTAGAGTAACGGTATAATTTAATTATCTACTATTACAGATGGGTTTAATAAACGATTCCGTTCCCAAATGAAATTTTGTTTCATTTTACAAACTACCCTCCCACATTTTATAGGATCTTCATGTTTATCATCCGGTAAAAATCCGCAGCCTGCACATGAGTCTCTTCAGTTAAAGGATAACTTACCATATATACCGCTTTCTTTGTAGAATAAGGGTGACCAACTAGCGCACAGTCTACCTCATAATATGTGGATGCTGTGGCCATAGACATCCACATTTATTCTGAATTAAGAATGGAAATGCAAATGCGTTGTCACCCCTGAACACTAAGATGGAATGCCTCGATTCCAGTAAAAATGGTCTCGGGTTCTCTACACTCACTATACGAAACACAGCACCATTACGCTGCTATTTTACGCTGATATTCTGTGCAGCGTACTCCTGCCCTGGTCGGGCCGACCCATTCGTGCTACAACTATAATACCTATAGTTGCAGCGTAACTCTACCACGTACATTATCCTCGATTAAGAATCAAAATGCAGACGCGTTTTCACCCTTGAAAATGCTACAAATTTATATTTTAATATGTCGTTAACCTTCACGCAGGTATTCTGTGTGAGCGAGGTACCACGACTAGGGTTGCCAACTGTACTATAATAAATTATTATTGTTGGTACTAGTCCAAGCGGTCACCGTCGTAAAACATGAAGGTTAGAGAACAGGTGAACGATAGCCGTAGAAAATAGTGGCCCAGAAATTTGGACACCATAAGCGAGGCGCTGCGATCGTTAAGTTCGGTCAATAAAAATCATTTTCAGTCTATTTTTCCGATCAGATGCTAAACCACGTGCACATCCACGCACAATAAAATATTTCTCAATTTTTTAATTTTTGTCAAAAATTACAAAATTACGGAGCATGAAAATTTTCTCACCAATGCCGCGAATAAAATCAGTACATTTTTCAACTAACTTCATCTACTTGTACTCATAAAAGTTAACTTCGCAGTCACTACTCACCGACGTCAGCGCCGCTATAAATTCTACAATTTTCAAAGACAGACGGGCTATGCTTTAGTATGTAGTGATCGTTCTCCTTTTCTCTAACCTTCATGGTCGTAAAAGGTCGGTCATCCGGAATTAGTAGAGAAGTATACGTTTATATTTACTGGGTATTAGTTAAATAATAAACTAGCGGTCTAGCGGTTTGTATCTTGACCAAATTATTTTAATTAATTTACTTTTTATTTATTTTTTTGCAAAACTGATATATAAAACGTAAGTGTATTTTTTGATGATATTTCATGTCTACAGAATAATACCAGTCTGAGGAATAAAATCTTTAGACAAGTTCCCTCACGAAGATTTATTTCGTTGCACTTAGTATAAAAATTCTAATCGTGTGATTTCCGTATAAATACTTCTTAGATCTTTTTATTGAATTAACTAACTAGAGAAAAAAGAATGGACATGACATAAATATCGTGAGTTGTAGGAATGTAACGAAATATCGGCGTCTCTTTTTAGCTTATGAGTATATTCGTATGTAAAAAAAGGACAACAGTAGTTTTATCATTACCGAATATGGCAACAATTTTTTCGCTGCGGCCGGGCGCCATATTTTGTCACAGTCAATGATAACAATATCAGTTGTCATTGCGACTTTAGTGAGGGAGTATGTTATTTTTATGTTTCTCTCGTGGAATTGGATTATTACGAAATATCTTATTCTATTCCTCGGGACCTCTAAATCAGGATAAAAAGTATCCTATATGTTAATTCAGATAATAAAATATTTGCGTGCCAAATTATTATATTCAAACTGGTCTGATACTTTTGGCGTGATTGAGGAATAAACAAACATTCGAAATTTTGCATTTATTATAATTTAATCAGTGTGAGTATTAATACTGAGTCTAATTTATTGTCTAACAAACAAACAAAAATTCTTTAATTTGTACTTATTGTTTAGAAAATAATTGTAACATTAATAATAGATAGTTACATTATAAAAAAACGACTGGTTAAAAGTAATGAACTGAAAACATAGGTATAACTCATATATACTTCAGTAATCTTTTAATTTCCTTTATTTGGATACCCCTATCGATAGATTGAGTAAAAAAATTAAGGACTTACAATTTGGCGACAAAAATCCGTTATATTGATTAAAAAAAACTATCTAAGAACACACGAATTCGTTTCGAATTCGTTTGAGACGAATCACACAAAATAATCTTTTTCTAAATAAGCGCCACATTATCGATATTAAGTATAGTGCGCAGCACTATGTCAAGCCGCCATCTTTGTGCCAGATTCAGTTTAGGTATACATGTTTTCTTCGAAGGTATGTCATGTCCTTTCTTATTTCTCTAGTCAAAGAAAACGACATATACTAGAATTATTTTGTCTGTGCAGTTTGGGTCATGAACTCATAAATCATCGGAGTATTTCGCTCTCTCTCTCTCTCTCACAGGCCATAGCGGCGAGCATAGTGATGCGCATTATTGTTGTCAACAAGTT